TTTCATTTTTCAATAGTGTCGATTAAACAAAACCCTTAAAAAAATTATTAGATAATGAATGTGCTCAAATAGTAGGCTAAGACACTAGGCCTAGGACATAACTACAGTCAACCATTTTACTACAATTCCAAGTAGTGGTTCAACAACCATTCTCATCACTCAATCACATCATGGATGGATCTTAGCTACAAGTTCTTTGCTCGGTACATCCCAGTCTCCAGTACGGTCTCAATGAGAATCCACATCACCTCATTTCAACAAGAAGAAGATGGGTAGTTGTTTAAGGGATGAGAAAGATATATCTCTTTGTGTGCTCAAGTGCCCCAACATGGACTACCGAAAGTGGATCAACTGCATTGACTTATCAAAGAGATGGAACTGACTAGCTATAATTGGGGTAAAGGAAGAAGAGCGAAGTAATAGTGCATCAAGAAGACCTTGTTTCGGTATCGACCAATTGAAGGAGCTCACCAGAAAGATGGACCTTGTCACTTCTACAGTGCAAGGAAATTCAAAAGAGTTGACGAAGTGTTATTGGTGTTGAGCTAACTCCCACAATCTTGAAGATTTCCAAGCTATGTTGGGAGCTTTGGTTAACCATGAGAAAACTAATCTTATTGGTGGCCAACAAAGACGAGGTGACAAGTATAGTGCAACTTACAATCCCAGATGGAGGAATCAAACCAACTTCTTGTGGTCCCCACCAGCAGATAGAAAATTTCTCAACTTCAATTAAATCAAACACAATATCAAAGATCTTCTCAGCATTTATCTCAACCATCTAACCAAGCACCATACTTTGATAAATGAAGGCCTTTGGATTGTCGAATGACAAGGCCAGAATATATGGTTGGTCAATTTGTTTCTACTGCTTCAAGAATTTTGACTCAATAGACAAGTTTGTAGAGAATGCTAGTAACAAATTCTCTACTCTGGAGCTGGACTAAAAAATCAACAAGTATAGCTCCAGAACTTGAAATCTCAAGTGAGCGCCATATCTCAAGCTCTTCGAGTGAGGCCTCAATGAGCCTTACCGAGAAGCATGAAGTTGAATCCAAAAGAGGGATGCCATGCAGCTACCTTAAGGAGTGGTTGTGAAACAAAAGATTCTACACTTACACCAAGGACCAGAATTCTCGTTTTGGATGCTCCAAGAGCTAAGGAGATTTCTCAAGATTCAAGTCCTCAAGAAGCTGTTATTAAAGGCAAGAAGATTGAATATCAAGTGACCAAACCCAAGGACCAAGGTGCCTTAGTATATACCCCAACTTCCATACCCTGTGAGAGCTTATAAAAACAACCTAAGTCATGAATGTGGTCAATGGAAGAACATGCCCAGGCAACTGAAGGTCAGTCATATCGATGATGGTTCTCGTCGTGGTTAAGAATGGACGCCCAAGAATGGCGGGCGCTTCATCACCTCTCTACGTTTCCATAATCACAAATTCCACATGGTAGACGAAATGCGCACACTCGACAAGCATGTTCTCTGCCACTCCATTCGGTGTGGCTAGAGATCGATTGGCAAGGTGAACCTTCATACTTGTTGGCGTAAATGGGCCTAGAACAAGTTCCTTATAAATCCTTGATGGCATCATGTTAATACTCGATCTCAAATCAGCCAAAATATTCCAAAAAGTACTCTCGCCAAAGGTGCATGGGATTGTGAATGCTCCTGGATCCCTTAATTTTTGGGGCAGTCCTCTGCAATCAATGGTTAAGGAAGAAACAACGCTTAATGAAACCATCGAAACTTCCTCGATCTTCATCTTCCCTACTAGGATCTCTTTTAAGAACCTTGTATACTTAGGGGAGTATTAAGGACATCTAGTCCGAAGAGGGGCATACCTAACCAATTTGACCAATTTAGGTGAGTTTCGCGCCCTTCTTTGGTCACTTTAACAAAAACTAAGGAATATTGAACACCAGAGTTTGGTCAAACGCATATTTAAAAATTTAATCCATTTGATTCCATTCCCATTTCAATTTCGAGATCACAATCTCTTTCTTTTGATGCCAAGCTCCGAGGAGCCTGCTTCAATGTGTTTGAGGTCCGGTGAGCGCCGATCTTCCTGGCCAACGTCCGCCACCAGCTTCCAAGATGGACACCTGCAAAACAAAAGGACCCGCCGGCGGTGGTCGGCGGGGACCTTCTCCGAAGCTCAAGTCAGTATTTGAGAGGAGGGTAATCGTGAGCTGCATAGTAAGCCGGCTCTAGAGAGATTCAAAAATTCCATTCCCTATGAACTGTCGAGAAAGCATAAATGAGCATCCTATTTATAGGTGCCTGCTGCTCCTGGCGTGGGTGGCGTGTGAAGAATAACAATAATACATTTACCTCCAACCAACCCTGAGTGCGATGACCGGTTGAGTATAAAAAAACAAATCACCCAACCAACAAGACTGAGTGCAATGTTGGTTTGGGTAAATAGAATATATCAAATAAACATATTGAGAGCGTAAGAGTAACACATAGAAGAAGAAAGACAAGGAACACCACCTCCTTCCCATCTTTCTCTTAAACCATGTATAAATAGTGGGAAGTAGGGATGGCAATCAAACTCATGCCCACGGGTATCCGACCGCCCCCGACCCAGTCAACGCGGGGAATCCCCGCTTTGACTGGTATGGGGCGGGTATGGGTAAAACCCGCAAAATGTTTGATGGGTACGGGGCGGGTATGGTTTTAGCCTCCCCCGCCCCATACCCATACCCATACCCGCCCCACTAAGAATATTTGTTCACATATAAAAAATATATGAATGAAATAGTAATCTATCAATGATAGTGGGTAAATAAAAATAATAATTAGTAGAAATGCAATTGAGTGGTCACCCAAATCAAAACCTAATTCATTTTCCTCAACTCTCTCTTCACTCTTTCACTTTTCCCTCCTGTTAGCAAAATTATATTAGTTCATTATTGCTTAGTATATGTATTAGAGCTAGATAAATAATGATTTGGATTACATTGTAGTACTCTATTTTATGGATTAAGGGAAATTTTAGAATAAGATATTTTGAACCATATTAAGAATTATTGTCACTTTCTCGACTTCATGATATAATAGGTGCCTTTAATGTTATAATTAAAAATTTACATGTAAAATTTTATGTATTATAATGTTGGATGTACGGGGCGGGTATTACCCATGGGTACCCGAAACCCACGGGTATGGGGATGAGTTTGCAAAATCTTCCCTCACATGGGTACGGGGCGGGTATGAGTTTGGATATTTGAAAGCGGGGATAGTTTAGGCAAACCCGCTCCAAACCCGCCCATTGCCATCCCTAGTGGGAAGGGGATAGTGGTGGTTTGAGAAAACTAATTTTCACCATCCCACCTAGACTACGTGTCAGTAATATGAACAAAGTGAGGTGGGTTGTAGGAGATGGCTTTGTAATTACCACATCATGCACTTATGAGCTTGGCATGCATGGATAGCTGGTTTGAGAAGTGCCAGCTTAGACATAATGAGTCATATCCCCATGAATTAATGGAAAAGCATGAGTCCCTCCACGTGGGATTGGGGTGGCCATTTGGATTGGTTGTTTGAGATATATAAATGAGGATTAGTCATATGACCCATCAACCATCCAATTCATAGCATGAAGTGGGATTTGTTTGGTGGGAACAGGTCAGGTGGAGGGTCAAGTAGGAGACTAATCGCTACATACACGTGTAATTTGGGGAGCTAGGGAATTGTCAATTTGTGTTTTGTTAAGATGAGGTTTACTCTCTCCCAACCCATTAATGGCATGCACTTACCTTTTACATGGATTATGTAGAGTAGAGATGTGAAAGTGGTAAAAATTTGTCACACCCCTCATTTCCACCCACGTGTAATAGTGTAGAATTGGAAATTCATTTTGTTACTAATTCTCCTTCTAAGACCCAACTAATTGAGAATAAAGAACACACATGTCCACCTTGCCTTTCATACGTGGAAGCATGGGGAAAGTGATGTTAGGTGGCTTCCCTAGCACTTAACAGAGAGAGAGGTAAATAACAAACTAATTAATTGATCAATTGATGGAGAAGAGAAACCTTGATCTTTGCACCATTACTCCACGTGTAGTTGAATGGGTAAATAAGGTAGTGGCTAGAGCCTAGAGGTAAACCTTTAGCTAGCACACCACTTAAACACCCAATCCATACCACAATGTAGCCACGTGGAGGAAATTGTGGTGGTTTTATTGGCATCCTTATTACTCATTGGTAGGGGTGAGCAAACACACCCGCAAATCGATCCGCCCGTCCAACCCGATCCAACCCACCTGTATTAATCGTTAAAACGAAGGTTTTGGGTTGGGTAAGGGTTTTCTTTTGTACAACCGCCTCTTTTGGGATGGGTTTGGATTTTGGATTACACAACCCTTCGAACCCGACCCAACCCGTGTTCCAACTATTAGTATGAGTTCGTATCTAAAAAAATTTATGTCGTATATAGCCATACTTATGAGAAAATTAAGATATTTCACCATCTTTTCTTATCATTGTCTCCCTAATCTAATGCATTCTTCGACTTAAAGTTTTTACATAAATTGAATATAATTATGATTCACCTAATCCTTTTTCTTGTGTACAATTTTAATAGAATAATATATTATGGATGCGTTTGTTTATAACATTTTTAGCCTATTTCAACAAATATCGTGAAAAAAACTAGACATATGTTGAAGTAAATCACATTTTATTAAAATTCAAATAACATTTGTGAATTTTGACACATTTCACCTCAGTTTATTCGTTTGAAATTTTAATTAGTTATAAAATATTTTTATGATGTATAATAATTATATATTTTATGTTGGGTTGGGTTTTTACTTAAAAATATCGCCAACCCGACTCAACCCAATTAGAAACAAACTGTAGGGTTTAAATATTTTTGGGTGGGTTTGAATTTGATAATTCCCAAACCGCAGTGCACGGGTCGGGTGATTAAAATGGTTAAATCCGAACCAACCGATCCATGTACACCCCTACTTATTGGTATGAGATGATAGGTGGTGAAATAGAGGGTCCATCACTTTCATATTTAAGAAAATTCATAAAATCAATACTCAGTTTGAGTTATATTCAGTCTAGTCCGACTTAAGAAAATTCGTAAGGGGGGGTCATGGGCTACAAAAAGGTTAATACAAAAGTTTGACTGAGATATGGACGGGCTTTGTTCAACGACTGGATTGCAACTGCGTACATGCATTCTTTCCTTCAACAGAGAACTCAGAAGCCATGTCTCACATGATCAGCCTTCAGTTCTGCTAACCTCACAAGCTCCGTGCAACTTTCTCGTACAGCTCACGAGGCCAGTTCCTATTCATGTTGTTCGCTAGAAACTGCGCGATCTGCAGATTAAAGACAGGATGAAAATCAGCTCATGAGCACGACACAAAGAATAATCTATTTTTAGCCCACAGATTATCATCATTTACTATGATCCTAGCACAAGGAGAAGTTCAACTCAAACACCAGTGGACTTCTTCTCGTGGTGCAGATCGCAAGCACCTATAATGTCTATTAAGACTACATAATTAGATGCAGAAATTAGTAACTAGTTACCTTGGCCCTCATGGCACGAAGCGACCCATCAGTATCCGTCAAATTGTCGATACATGTTAGAGCTACCTTCAAAACGTCAGGAATGCAGTCTTTTACATGGGGAGATAGATTCTGGAACTCCCTGACATTTGCATCTGGTGCCCGAGGATCTAATGGCAGAAAAGGAAGTGCGGCAATCCCTCTCAATGCTTCCAGGTAATTTCCCATTCTCGTCGACTGGTGGACAGACAATATTGCCTCAAGCTGTCTCAACACCGTTTCTTGTTCCAGAACACGCTCTCTCTCTTTAGGGCTGAAAGAAACAGCACATACAAAGAACAGCAGTTGGGGATACAAGCCAGGCTATGACCAAGAAAAAAAGTCAACTTCAAGAGAAAAGTTCAAGCAAATAGATTCCTGTTACAACGTTCTGTTCTCGTGCAGCATGCTAATAGAGGCATTAAAAGGCAGCACATCACCTTGCAAGATAATTGGTCCTTTTCTCATGTTTCAGGTATATTCCAACTTCTTCCAGGTCAATGTTTACCATCAAAGAATCACTTAGGAGTTTTTCTTCTCTCTCTCTCTCTACTTTCTTTCTTGGCAGAATATCACTTGGTGACTTAGCAATTCGCTCAATCCGTTTTTCCCTTAACATTCAAAATTGGCATTTTGCCAGAATTTTAACCGTTGGAGTTATATCTTGCAATTTTTATACAATAACCAGAATCAAGTATCAGATTAATATGACAATCTGGTTCACGGAAGTGTGGACCTCTACTCTCCCACTCGTACTAGAACTCTTCATGAGAAGATGACAAGGAAAATATAAGTAGTAGTTGCACTAACCTGATATCAGGATGATACTTGTAAGCTTCCAAAATTTCATTTCCACAATGAATAAGACCACTTGTCCTGGTGTCTCCATCCAATCTACCACGAGCCAAGGCACAAATTGCCTCAGAAAGACACTTATTGATTGTGTCCAAGGCCATACCAAAAGCCCCAACTCTCTTGTGAATTTCTATTGACTGCTTCAATTAAAAAACATGTCATAAGAAGTTGAATGTAAGACAAAGTTCAGCGTAACTGCCCCAAAAATAAGTTTCAGATAGGAAAGAAAATCATCAACACACGAAGATGATAAAAAACAGAACATGAAGAGTTGAATGGACCGAGGTACAGCTATTCCAGGCAAATAGAAGCTGATAAGAAAAACTATTTCAAAGAAAGAAAAGAAGCCTTGGAACCACCACAGATACCAGGACAAGTATATTGTTAATAAGGACCTTAACAAGCAGGAAATCTGAGCAGACTTCATTTCTTTCAGTAACCAATGGGTGACACGTCAAATAGGTCCTAACTCAAACCATTGTCAACCACCACTGTAATGAAAAATGAATCACTATATTAAATTAAAAGATCGCGGAAGAGACTTTACTTTATCATGGAGGCCAGCTTCCAGACATTGGAAAGCAGCTTCAAGAAGAAATTGATGTCTCGATCTATCATCGTTTAAAAATCGTCCTAATTCACCTTCTTCTCCAGCACCCCTTGGACCAAGTAAGAACATAATTCCACCATCTCGTAGTAGTAGCTCAGTGAGAAGCTGCTTCAGCATCAAGTTTCTCTGCCGTTGCTGATCCACATTACCTCTACCAGTCCAAGAAATCTCTCCACCCCCCACTGCAGCAGCAGCTTGTGCATAATATTCCAATGCCAATGAAAGGTTCCCATTACGCAAATATGCAGATCCATGCTGTCTAATTATGCTAGCAGCCTCTGCGTAAGCATCCATTACTCCAAGTTTTCTTCCAGTATTAGTACCTTCGGATGAAAGAAGCCCATGGTCTGCCAGCACAACTGATAAGTGAATAGCATCAATATCATATCCTTCACCTGCAGCTTCCTTATACAGGTGTAATACAGCTGGTAGCAACTGGATGCTTAAAAGCAGCACGTAAGGGTACACTAGCAAATCCTTCCCATTCTTGGTATAATAAGACGGCTCAAATTTGTTCAGGTAAGCCTGCAAATCTTCCAATGTGTATGGCATGGAGCCTTCATGCAAGACTGTCGATGAAGTCTCAGCAGGAACATCACGTACAGCTGATAACGTGAACCACAAGAAATCCTCAATTGTACCAAAAAGCATGGGTAGATCTCTCAGTAGACGGTCAATGTGCCTGCGAGAACCAGAAACCATAGCATAGAGCAGCAGCTTCTTTTTATCATATGCAGCTCGACCTGCCCGGTCACCCATTCTTAACATCTTTTCACATTCTTCTGAAGCAGCGGCTGCAATGCTTGCAGGCACCATGCCTCCAGTGTTAATCCACTCTGTAAGCTGTCAACAACAAGCTAATGAGTTTGGTGTGAAGTGCATTTGTATTTTTTTAAGCGAAAATAATTTTTAGTACCAAGGGTGCAAATTGGTGAGATGAACGGGAAGATAGAGCAACATTTCTGGCTTCATCGTAGTATCCAGTCCTCAAACAATAATAGATCTGCAAACCATAAAGAAGAGGATTGGGCAATTCTTCATAAGAAAAATGAAGTATTGAGGTCAAGTTTGGATAAGAGGATTCACATTACAGCGGCAAAATTATAGTCAACATCTGTACATTCAGTAATGTACATGTTTGGAATATACATCTTAGTATTATTTATGTTTTACGGATATGTTCAGGTTTGCAAAACCATTTTCCCCATCAGAAATCATGGTTTTCATGCCAAATAATACTTTCAAATCGGAAGCAGTTCTGTACTACTTATCAAAACTAAAGATGAAGAAATAATCTACATGATTTTCTTTTTATTTGAAGCAAGCTAAACAAAGATCACCTGTTGCCAATTCTACTTCAAAGTCTCTGTTATCATTGTTACCTTTTTTTTCAGTTATACAACCCCATTCACCACTTTCCTAAAGACCCGGTTGGAATGATCGCAATACTACATCTCCACTTTCCTAAAGACCCGGTTGGAAAGATCGCAATACTACATCTGCATCTCCCTTTTACAAGAAACAACCATTGAGCATTCATTTCCGAACCTTTATGTAACAGCTACAGGACGCTCTTTATAGCAGCTACTGAAGATAATCAGTTAAACCTAAAGTTAAGAATATACTTTATGACCAATATCTACAAAGGGCAACGTGTACAAGATTCAAAAGAAGAACACGATAACAAGGAAAGTAATTGAAACAGAAACCCTAGAAAATAACTGAAACTTTCAATTTTTTTATAAATTCATGGCAAGCTTGGGTGGCAAGCGATTTTGTGTTTCTAACTGCAATAATTCGCCTTCCTTCTGAAGACAGAAACAGAGCCAACCTTTTTATGTCGACAGAAAAGTACAACAAAATAAGAACTTGGAACAGGAGTCTAATTCTGACCTGCTGCCAAGTGGTATCAACTGGAGGCTGCCTACGGCTATCATCTGAATCAAAATCTAGAAGTCCATAATCCCTCAAACGAATCTGTCCAAGAGAATGTATATCAGAAAGTATAATTGAAATCAAGTATAACAAGTTCTAGTGAGCAATTGACTAGATGGTTAGACCAACCCGAAGAAATCCACGAACTTTCTGCATATTTCCAACAGTTCCACCAATAGAAGCCTGGAAGTAGGAATAAAGACCAAGGTTACACAAAGAAGGAATAAGACCGACATTATTGTGTAATAAAACATTTTCAAAATAAACAAAACAGGTTGCATGAAAAGAAACAAACAAAGGAAGTAGTAACAGCAACCAGCTTGTCTAGCTACACTACACTACCACCCAAACTACTAATTCTAGCCTAAAATGCCTGTCAGACAAAAATAAAGAATATGAATTAAAATACATAAACTCCGCATACAGGCATGAGACAAGCACTAGAAAAGAACTTTGATGTCAACTCTTCACTATTTTACAGTCTGAAGAAAAGGAAAAACAATTTGATAGATGTTAAACTTTTACCTGAACATTTCTACAAATTCACGATCGCTTACCTGTGCAGGGTGACTTTGAATAGTATCCATCATATATTTTTCATGTCCCCATTCCAGATGATGCCTCGCACCGATAACTATTGACATTTTTGTTGAGAAATTCCGTTGGATGGTGGAATTCTCGCCTGTTAAAGACTGTTAAACATATCAGAACAAACACAACTGGTATAAATTACCTATTTCAAGGCAATCCAAAAACAACAAAAACTACCTGAATAAGGTGCCACATCTTCTGCATGTTCACTGATTTGCCACCAGATCCTTCTAAACTTAGATTTTCATAAGCACCCTTGAAAGAAGCTGCCGGCTGAAAAATATTGCAAGCAGATGCTTATTAACAACTTTTAGTATTAATTTAAGGACACGCAAGAAACAGAGAACATATTCAGAAACATAATCTCCACTGGCATTAGAATCATAGTCCGGACAACAGCTTTGAGTAAGCTCTTGCACCATTCTGCTTATAAGATATTTTAATTAACTACAAAATTCACCAGGATCTGAAATTTACTGTTTGATCGTCAGATACAAACATGGATACAATATACAAGCTGGGCAGGGCCAGAAAAGATGGTGCTAGTTCGACTCAAAGTTACTTAAAAAAGCTTGTTGAATTTCTTCAATATTCAAATCAATTTCTGAATCGTCCTACAAACCAGCATTGGGTTGTCTGCGCTAAAAAGAGAGGGGGTACAACTACGCTAGCATATACATCTTTCTACAGCTGAGACAGTTGAAACAGAAAGCAACAAAAGAACAAACAACATGGCCAAATGCAATAATGTAGACTACTTACAATTAAGTAACGGCTACCAGGTACACATACATATTTTGCCAGTTTCCTTCCACAACTGTTAGTTGCTTACAAGAGGAAGGTAACCCAATCAAGGCTGGAAAGAGGGAGGAGAATTACCATGATTCTTAGTGCACAATTGAAGAACTAATTGATATTTTGATCACAATGTCATTCAGCTAACCCAAAAATCAGTATGCAAAATACAAGTTGCATAATGAAGGATTACAAACAGGCGACAAAATCACTGGACAATAACATGCATTAGACATTTGGTTTCAGTTCATTCGGAAGGTTTAGAAGTTTCAGACTGCTCCTCAAATAAATTATTGATTCTCCATTTCCTAAATAGCTATTCTTACTAAACCAAGGGCATAATGGCATGTCATCTGCATTACAATATCCTTTCCTAGTTTCCTTCAACATAAAAACTTTGCTCCCGAAAATAAAGGAAAGGAGATTGTTAGAATGTCATAACCAAAATAGTGTTAGGCCCAAGAGTCAAACTTTATGCATTGACTAAATAGATAGAGGTCAATACACTCAGTAGTAGCATATGTGCTATATTGGGGTTGTTTGTTATGGATGGTTCAGCCATTATCTGTGCTATATTGGGGTTGTTAATTATGGATTGTTCAGCCATTATAAGGTGAGGTAAATGCCTCTCAACATGGTGTAGAGCTAATTCTTGGACATTTATATATATTTATTTATAGGTATATATAAACTATGAAAAGTCTTACTTTAAATGGCAATCCACGTTCTCTTGCACTATTCAGATTCTTCACAACTTCAGAATATGCCAAAGCTTTTCTCTCCGCTATTGGTTTGTTAGCAAACGGTACAATGTCCATGGCAGCAGAACCAGAAGAGACCAATGGGCTACTTGAAGCAAGAGATAAGAGTTTCCCCGGACGAGTACTATGTGTGTTTGTATCGACTACGTCAGCCCTCGGTAGTGTTGAAAGCCGACTCAAGCTATGAAGAAAATCACGTTTTTCTTTTTGCCAATCCTCCTGCAATTTGATAAGTGCATACATCAAACCAGAAACTTCAACATAAATTTTGCCATATTAGCTCCCGTCTTATCATTAAAACATAAAACCGATACTCCAAATATGACTCTTTTACTAGAATACCAGGTTCAGAAAGATCTCGTATCACCACACCTCTCTCTAAATGATCATTCTTCCTTCAAATGCCTCTGCCTCCAAAGAAAATCAACAATGACAACAAAATTTCAGAAGAGCAATCACACTGACCTCCAGAACTTTCATCATATAATCATTGAAGCCCCTCACATTGTCCTTCTGAGCTTCTTGGATAGATGACACCATGGCCATTTCATGAACCTACAGTCATAGGATCCAGCAAATCCAGAAAGTATGTAAGAGATGAAAATAATATCTTGGATTTGAAATGACCAAGTGGTTGAGAGAGGGGCAAACAGCATCGGTTTATACACCAGATTGTCCCTCGCGGCTAGGGTGCCTAGGGAAATAGTACCAATGTGTAAACCTCTCATATTAGACTCTCGAATGACATGCAGCAGAAGCTTGTCCTCACAGAGCACTTACATTAGCAATGCACATGTACTAAGTAATTACAATGGAATGAAAGGCCTTAAGAATGGGATACTTAGTGAACAAAACGTGAGAGCTATGTTTCAGAAAGAAGGGCAAAAAGGGAGAAAATTTGCCAAGAAGAGTAAGAGAGGAGCCAAAGATCATACCTGCTGCAAATACTCCTCAACACTTGTAGCTTCAGTAGGGAACACATCCTCAAAGGTTGTCTGCAAAACAGAAACAGAGAAGAAAATGGGGAAATGAATAAGGACCCATTGTTAAAGGTGAGAATAAGAAACTTGAATACAACAGTTCTCCAGCCTAAGATGAAAATTAAAGCAACTTCGGAAGGATGCTAGTATTCACTGCACAAAAACAAATATACTAGAAGCTTTTGATCTGAGAATGATTAACAATAATTTGCCCATTTTGAACACCAAAATCATTCCATATTTATCTTCTTATCATACCAGAAGAAACAATATTTGTGCGGAGAAATGTAAGAGGGAAGTAAGATAACGCAGCTCATAAGCCACTGAACTATGGCTGCCTGAGGCTGCAGGCACAAGTTTACCTTAAGCTCAAAAGATTTCAAATCACGGGCCAGTTGCTCAGCATTTATCCCTTCACGTGCAAGTAGCCTACAAAATTGACGAGAGATAAAGAAAGCTGTTAGAAGTTTCGCCACCAGGAAAGTTACCTAGGGATTCAATATACCTAGACACAAGGTAGCCCCGGAATGGAAAATGAAGGAAACCATGTATCACCTAACTGGATCATTTGTTACAAAAAGCAACTAGGGTGTCCAGTGCTTCTACCCAATTTAGAATTATTAAAAACCAGAAAATGAACCAAACAGTTGCAGGTAGAAATTGAGTAACGAGGAAACTCGCCTTGTGGCAGCAATTGATTGGGAAGGAGCCTCGGTTCGAACAGTTTTAGCTTTGAGCTTTTTGGACAATGCTTCCAACTGGTCCAAATTCCTCTAAAATCCTCAAAAGAAACAAGTCACTGTAAGGAACAACAGTACGCCAATTGCTAGATCTAAAAAAGAAGTGAACGAAGCAGAAGCAAATTCGAAATTTTCCGCGCGCTGGAAATCTCACAGAAACAAAGAGCTAGGTAAGGACCACTGGGATAGAACAGGAAGCCAAAATTTCATTTTGGGAAGAAAGGAGCAAGAGATGGGAGGGCAGGGGACCGAGTAAACCTGAAGAGGAGGAAACTGGGCAGAAGGAGCGGCCTGCTCGAGAAGTCTGGTCGAGGAATGAAGCAAATCGCTCCAGCCACTCATGTCTTGGTCGCCTACCATTGCGCTCTGTCAAAACCTTTCTCCGTCTCAGAAATCCTCTCCAAACTTTGCAGTTTGCACCTTTCGACAATGGCGGAATGGGGTTTATGAGGTTTTTAGTTTTACTCTCGCCTAGGGAATGGCGGGACTAGGCGTAATTTGGCCACCGGTAAATTACATTTTAGTCATTAGATTTAGACTTTTCATTATCAGCAACATAGCCACTAGAATTTGACTAATTAACGATTAAGTCATTGCTTCACCTATCTTAGACAACCTCCAATTGGAGGGTCAATTGTTGTATGTTTTAATTTTTTGTTGTAATGTGAGAAAACATGGAAACTATTCATTATCCTAGTCAATTTTTTCGATCTATAACATTCTGACCTCGACTAATCATCAAACTTACTAAATTGGCTAAACAAGAGAGTTGACCGTTATGTTGAATGCTAAAGATCGTTGACTAACGGTCAACCTGCCATGTCATTGTCCAATCACTCAATATCAATGACAAGTAAACCACGTGGTACAAAGAATATAATAATTTAAGTAAAATGTTAAGAAAAATTCCCCACCATTTTATTTCTTCGTTCTTAAATGGACCAAAATTTGAAAAAACAAACATTCAATTAAAAAACAAATACACAAGCAAATATCCCTCAATTTTCTTCGTTATCCTCCGATTCCCAATCCATCCCTCTCAAGCGCATCTCTGGCGGAGACAGAGTCCTTGAAGCTAAATTCTTCTAGAAATCCCTCTTGAAGGTTCTCGTTCCCGAGCGAGATCGTGAACGTTGTCGATTCTCCAAATTCTATGATCCATTATGAAACCTGCATATCCTCGACATAGGGGTTTTCCACGATGTCTAGTGGTTGACGCTGCTGAAAGCCCTCACTCGAACTGGTGGGCCACCGCCTCTGGTGGGAATCACTGTAGTGACTGCTGTCATGGAAACCAACCAGATCGGAAAAACTCCCTTTTCGATAGGACCACGGGGGGACAATTTCACCACCTGGCTACTCTGCTTCGCCAAATCGATGAACATAAACCTGCAGATCAACCAACTCATCAATTGCCCATTGCAAACCCTAAACCCTCAAATTAGCGACAAAAATTATTAAAAAAATCCTAATCGTTTGTGCCGATTTACGGCTCCACGGATTGAACCACAACAAACCCCACTCCTCTGTTTCCTCTTCTCCCCTTCTCAGCGAATCTTTGGATCTTCCCCTGGATGGAACTCAGCCCGGAAAGATAGGGCACCACACTCGTTAATTGGTCGAACCGAAACAAAAAGAAGAGAACGGGAAGAAAAAGAGTGGCGGTGGAACTTTCTCATCTCTGCTATTTTATTTTTCTGTTTTGGAGGAGCACAAAAGGGAAACAGGGGTGTGGGGGAGTTTTGTGGTTGCAGAAGGAAGAGGGCTACCGCTGTTAGGTTTAGTGGCGGGAGGAATCAATGGAGGATTTATTGCAGAGGGAATCGGTGAGAAGGGGGGAAGAGGAAGGAAATTACGACGAGAGAGAGTAAAGCCAGCTTCTAAAATTTTACTTAGTGCTCGTTTGGAGAACATGATTTAGGCCATGAATCATTGAATCCATAGGGGCTAAGATCAGGTGACTAAGGGATCTAATGGCTCAAATTAATCTAATTTAATGAAGGGTATGCTAGTAATTATACAATTTATTTATTTGAAAATTAAAATTAAAATATATTGCTGGTCCGTATCCCTCCCCGTCGTCCGTTTACTGCAACTTTTTCCCGCACCGCCGACTAGAGATTTTCCGGCGTTGCCCAGCTCCGGTCGTTTCCTCCTGGTGGTGCCTAGCTCCGGTCCTTCTGCTGGGCTAGGAACTTTACCATTCCATTTTCCCCCAACTTGGCCCCTTCCATTCCATTTTCCCCCAGCTTGGCGGTGCAAAGAGAGAGAGAAAGAGTTTTTTTGTCAACTTTTCGACGATGGTGGAGGAGGTTTTCCGGCGACTAGAGACGATGGAGGAGGATTTTCCGGCGACCAGAGACGGTTAGTATGCTTTGTACTATTTGTCTGTTTCTTTTGTAATGTTTGTAGGCTTTGTTATTTTGTAATGTTTGTCGGTTACTTTTGTAATGTTTGTAAGATTTGTTATTTTTGTGCACCATATTTGTAATTTTTGTCAACCATGTTTGTAATATTTTTTATGCCTAAAATATAACATGGTTGACTTTTGGATGGAACTTCTCTATATAGAGATGAAACCTCCAAAGTCAACTCGGGTGTTTTTCCATTTTGTATGGTTTGCCGGTCTAGTTTGTAATGTTTGTCCACCATGTTTGTAATGTTTGTATGTCTAAAAAACAACCGGGTTGACTTTGGGACGGAGCCCCTCTATATAGGGATGAAGCCTCCAAAGTCAACCCGCTTGTTTTTTCATTTTTATATGGTTTGTATTGTTTGTCGGTCTAGTTTGTATAGTTCTTATGTGTTGTATTGTTTGTAAATCTGTTTGTATGTAGTGTTGCTGTAGTTTGTATTGTTCGTAAGTTTGTATGGTTTGTATTGATTGTAAGTCTAGTTTGTATACTTCGTAATTTTTCATAATACCCAAACTACCCCTATCATTAATTAAATATTCCTTTCCACTTTTTAACCGTCAGATTCCTGTCTCCAGATCTAAGGGTTGGAAGGGGCTTGGTCAAGTGACTAAGCACCCCCTTAGTCACAGGATCCTTCCTCGAATCCATAGATTTGTAGAAAGTTGTGTTTTTTTGTTGCTTTTTGTATTATGGATTTTAGCTTTAGAGATTTCAAATCTCTAAAATCTACGGATATCAAATCTCTCATAATCAGTATCTTGATTCGCAAGATTTTTTTCTCTTACTTTATCTCTTTATTTTATATATTTATCACATTAAATATATTTATCAACAATTTCTCAATATTTCTCGGAACTCTCTTTTTTTATTCAGAATAAACATGTTTTTTAATATAAATTTAGCATTTTTATTCTCATCGAAGGTTAACAATCACATGTACCAAACATAAACATTTTCAAATTTATTTTCAACCATCCAAAGAGTTAAAATTTTCGGATTGTTGACAATCTATAGATTTAGACTCATATTCTCCAAACGACCCCTTAAATTAAATTTTTTATATTTTCTCATACCATGTGATGTAACACACATGTCATCGATATTAGGTGACTGGATAGTGATGTGGCGGGTTGACCGTTAGTCATGAACGTCCAACATAACCGTCAACTCTCGGGTTTTGCCAATTTAGTAAATTTGGTGATTAGTTGAGGCTACGTTGCATGGTTGTCAAACCTTTTTCCTGTCAGTCGGTTCAACCGGGTACAACCGGTATCGGTCACCAAAGCGGCTGGAAAGGGGCCAGTATTTAAGTGTGGTCAAATCCGGTCAATGCTTATCAGATCTGGTCAAATCCGGAAATTCCAGCCGGTTAGACCAGAAACCGGAATTCAATGTTACAGACATTATATCCAAAAATAAACATCTTCCATAAAATTTAAACCAAGTACCTCATGTTCATTTTAGTTTCACCTTATATATTATATATCAAATACTAAATGTTACCCAAATCATTACAAACGTTAATAAAATTCATTTCACATACTTTTATTTTTAAGCATCTAATTCTTTAGTATTAGTTACCAATTCTTAGCTATAAATTATTTTGTGTGAAATAATTCTTCTAATTGCTTTTTCATGACCAATTTATTTGGAATTGAGAATTTCCATTTTTATCATGTATTTTATTAAAACCGGAATAATCGACATGAATACTAGTTGTACCACGGTCGGACCATTCCACTTGTAAAAGCAGCACACCGGCATAAACCGGTTTGACAACCTTGCCACGATCTTATAAATCGAAAAAATTGGTTAGCATGTTGAATATGTGCAAAGTTGAGGTTAGACAAATATATTAACCCAAAGAAAAACACAGAAACTAAGAGAGAAAAGCATGTGTTAGTATTTACACCAACATATTTTTCCCTTGAAATACTACTTGTGTGACTATACAATACTTGGTCACCATGTATACAGTCTCAGCGTAACCATCCAACCTCTAGGTGGATGATAGCTTCCCACATTATGAATGTCATCTAACCTCTAAGTGGATGGTACCATCTCATATTAGTGGACACCATCCAACCTCTTAGTAGATGGTGATCATCCCACATGATGGACACCATCCAATCCTACGGTGGATGGTACCATACCATATCATGGATACCATATCATATCATGGACACCATCCAAAGTACTAATTGGATGGTACCATCCTATGTCATGAATACCATACTAGTTAGATGGTTCCATCCATGTTGAAACAGGATGACATGGTGAAGTGTCTAGAGACTTCCTACGACGACAACTGACTTGTGTAGAGGCTAAGCGGAGCCACTTTTCGGGAGTAGGAGAGAGAACAGTTGGACGAGTCTGGGCAACAAAAGTTGAAGCAACCTTCTGAAGATAGGCAGACAATCACAATCCAACACAAAGACAACTTGTCTCAACTGACTTGGGTATAGGCTAAGCGGAGCTACTTTTTGAGAGTAGGAGAGAGAGAGCAGGTGGACAAGTCTGGGAAACAAAAGTTGAAGCAACCCTCTAGGAGAGGCAGTCAATCAATCTACAACACAAAGACAACTTGTCTCAACTAACTTGCGTATAGCCTAAGCGGAGCTACTTTTCGGGAGGAGGAGGAGGAGAGAGAGAGAGAGAGCAGTTGGACGAGTTTGGGCAACAAAAGTTGAAGCAACCTTCTAGAGAGAGGCAGCCAATCACAATCCAACACAAAGACAACTTGTCTCAATTATCCCTTTTTACCTTTTCTCTATAGTTTGTGGAGTTGTCCTTCATGAAGGATCCTCCATAGCGGTACTCTTAGTTGTAGTCGCAGAGCTCAAGGAATCTCCATAGGAGTAGTATAAGGTAACGTAGATTTCTCTCACACCAAACATCCTCGTTCGAACAATGTTTGAAGAGGTGTGGACCGTAGTAACAATCGTCACCTTGATAGAAGTCAGGTGCAACCCATCAACCCATTTTTTCACCGTTAACAAATTGACACGTCCAGTGGGACATGTGTGTTTGGTATGACTTCGCGAATGATGCAGCAAGATGATAAATTCCACATGATTTTGTGGAGGAGGAGCAGTTG